TTCTGGTTGTATATTTTGATCTTTTTTGTCACCAAAGTAAGATAATATAGTCTGACTCTTTTTGCACTGCTTGCTCATGATCCCGGCCAATTACTTGAGTTTTAAATTCTTTGTTAAGGTAAGAGTCTGTTTCCAATGTGCAGAATGTACTGTCCCAAGCTTCGGGGGTTTGTACAGCTGTTTTCAGAGATACTTGTAGAGACCTGCAAATTTTCAGTTCTCCCGAGGTGGTATGATAAGGGGTGAGGTGTTTACACCTTTCCTGGCCTGTGCTCTGGCCTATTAGTGACCACAAGTACTCCTTTCTGTCCTGTAACTGTGAGGAGGATTTTCTTACCACAGCCACTACAAGCTCCACCATGCCAGCACTCCTCCCCACCCCAGGACCACCACCCAGAACTGCAACCCAGATCCAAGCATGGGCAAAGCAAGAGATTCCTGCCTCAGCACTGGCAAAGAGATCCCTGCAATCCCTCTCTGATCAGCCACTAGATTCCCCCTTAGTCTGTGGGCTAGAAGCTCAGGAGGCAGCCACTGCCCCGGGGCTGCACTCTGTGCTCTGTACTCTAGAACTGGCTCTGAGACCTAGCTCCTCTCTCACCACAGAAACAGACTTTTCCCACTGACCTTCTAAGTTGCTTTTGGCATTCATGGGTTGAGGAGTCTGGAAACTGCCACAGCTGCCTGCTATTCAGTCCTCTGAGGCCTGCTCTAGGTTTGCTGTGGCCTGCGTGGCCACGCGGCACTGTGCTCTGCTCCCAGCCTGGAGTAATATACCTTTCTGATCAATCATCCAGGTTGTCTTGGGCTGGAAATTTGTTTCACTCAGTCTTTTTGTGGGTTCTGCTGCTTTAGAATTTGTTTAGAGCCATTTCTTTATTGGTATTTGGAGGGGTTTGAGGGAGAGCTCAAGCAAGTCACTGCTTTCACTCTGCCATCTTGGCTCTGCCCCCCCATTTTCTCTATTTTTAAGAATTCAATTTTATTTTCAGCTATGAATTATCTTCTCTCTCTGCTTCTTACTCACTGAGAAGACAAGGAAAACAAAAAGTGTTACAAATATGCCTATTCATACAAGATAAATTCCTGCATTAGTGAGGTCAAAGGAAGAAAGAGGAGAAAATATAGTTCAATATGCAACCTTAGTCCATCAGCTCTCTGTCTGGAAGTAGATAGCATGTTTCACCATGAGTCCTTTGGAATTGTGATTGGTTATTAAGTTAGTTAGGGTTTAAGAAGTCTTTCAAAATTGATTATCTTGGGGGCAGCTAGGTGGCGAGGTGGGTAAAGCACCAGCCCTGGAGTCAGGAGGACCTGGGTTCAAATCCAGACTCAGACACATAATACTCACCAGCTGTATGACTTAACCCCAATTGCGTCACCAAAAAAAAAACTGATAATCTTTACAATATTGTTGTTATATAAATTGCTCTGCTGATTCTACTCATTTCACATTGCATCAGTTCATACAAGTCTTCCCAGGTTTTTCTGAAACCATCCCCTTCATCATTTCTTACAACACAGTTTCCTATCACATTCTTATGCCATAACTCATTTAGCCATTCCCCAATTACTGGGCATCCTCTCAGTTTCCAGTTCTTTGCCACTACATAAAGAGCAACTATAACTATTTTTGTACAAATAGGTACTTTCCCCTTTTAAAAAAATATCTCTTTGGGATACAAACATAGTAGTGGTATTGTTGGATCAAAGGATATGCACAGTTTGGTTGCCCTCTGAGCATAGTTCCAAGTTGCTCTCTAGAATGGTTGGATCAGTTCAAAGTTCCACTGAGTATGTTAATGCCCTGGTTTTCCTACATCTCATTGAACATTTATGTTTTCCTTTTCTGTCATATTAGCCAATTTGATAGGTGCATAGATACATATATATATATATAGCAACACCTCCCTACTAAACTCCTTAAAGGTTGGGTCTTTTGCCTTATTTAATTATTTCATTCTCCTGCTCTAGTATAAGAATTTACACAAAACACTTGCTTAATTAATGTTTGTTAAGTTGAATTCAGAGTTTCCCTCATCAAGCTAATGTCTCTTTATAACCTGTCTAAAAGTCACTTTAATAAAAGCATAGCCAAAAACTTTTGTATAGACAATGATTACAACCATGTAAGTAAAGTCAACATAAAGAGGCAAAAAATCTCTAGTCAGCCCCCAAAGGTCAGTGGTCAGTCAGTCTGTCAGGCGATAAGCATTTATTAAGCACTTATTATGTGCCAGGCACTGTGCTAAGTGCAGGAATAGAAAGAGAGGCAGAAACATGGTCCTTATCTTTATCACATTATAATAGGGAAGACAGCATGCCTCTGCCCAAGGCACCTAGCCCACCCCAGACTACTTGCATATGCTGAACGCTCCTTAATCCCACCCAGAGCCTTTCACAATCCCTTTTTTATATAAGCTTCAGCATCATCCTCATTAGTTTGCAGGTTCCCTAAGAACTTCCTAGGCTTTCTTGGCATTGAAAGAAACTTTGCTACTTGACTGGAAAAAAAAGAGTCAAAAGGTAGGAAGGTGACCAGTTATAAAAATTATGAAAGTCTCTAAATGCCAAATGGGCTGAGACATTAACAAGACTTCAATAATACCTGACAACTGGTAAAGGAAAGGGTCAGGCAAGATGTCTGAGTGAAGTGAGGTGAGGAGGAAGAGGCAGTGAGAAGAGTAAACTCTCATCAAATAGCTTCAGGGTTTTTTTTTTATTATTAAACATGAGTCAGTCATCAGCTAAGAAGATGGGGAAGGGAGTACTATGAGAAGTTTAGAAGAGAAGATTTGAAATGGCCACTTTAGTGAGCAGGATCTCTAATCAGTTATGGAGAAGAAAGATTGCCATAGTAAGGTTCCAGTTGAGATAGTATAACAGATTTTTATTCAGTCCGACATCATCTTGGTTTTGAGACAGCATCTGGTTGGGCATGATGAATATCTGTGGTAGAAATAATCCAGGCACTAGGAGAAGGAGTGGGATGAAGGATGCCTTCATGATCATTCTTCTACAGGGAGGGGAGATGGGGGGAAGAGGTTAAAGGGATCTCAGACAACTGTGGGTATTGATGACAGAAGAAACCAAGTAGATCTCACTAGCTGACCTGAACAAGTAAGGCTAGTATGATTATATGAGGGAGTCACAAACTAAGGTACCACAAGAAGCTGATGGATGGTAAGCCTCTTGATCCCCAAATTTGAGCTGTAGTTTCTCAGCTGCTAGCATTCTGGATTTTTTTTTCAGATTCTAGGGTTTAGTTTGGAGAAGTCTGTTTTATTTTGTTTACTTTGGTTTTGGACTAGATCTGTTATTTCCTTGGTAGAAAGAATTCCCAGTGAGAAAACTCTATCTCTCCCAGGGAGGAAATCCCCTCACAAGATCAATACCTGCACAACATCTTATAGTCTAGGATAGTTCCTGGGTCACTGAGAGTTGAAATGATTTATCCATGGTCAGGCATTCACTATGTTATCAGAGGAAGAACCTACTGACTTTAAGGATAGTTTTCTCTGTCCACTGTACAATACTGCTTCTTCATCCCCTCCCCTTCCATTATGAATGAATGTTTGCTTTCTGGTGTGTAAGTCTTTGTCTTCTGAGTTTTCTTTGTCTCAAATCATTTCTGCTTGAACTAATAAGATAGACTTTCTGAACATGCCATGCCAAATACAGGAACCTAGGACAGAGGTGGAAGGCACCTCCTTCCTACCCATCCTTCCTACCAGTCTTATCCATTATATTACTGCATCTGCTTTTCTATTTAACTCTCATGAATCTAAGAATAGATGAGAAAGAGGGAAAGAAACAAGTATTTATTAAGCACCTACTATGTGTCAGGCACTGTGTAAACTCTACCAATATCTCATTTGATCTTCACTACAAGGGGCAGTTAGGTGACGCAGTGGATAGAGCACTGGCCCTGGAGTCAGAAGGACCTGAGTTCAAATCTGACCTCAGACACTTGACACTTAATAGCTGTGTGACCCAGGGCAAGTCACTTAACCCCATTGCCTAGCCAAAACAACAACAAAAAATCTCCCCTTTTAGGGGCAGCTACGTGATGCAGTAGATAGAGCTCTAGCCTTGGAGTATGGAGGACCTGAGTTTAAATTTGGCCTCAGACACTTGACACTTACTAGCTGTGTGACCCTGGGCAAGTCACAATTGCCTCACCAAAAAGTAAAAAAAAAAATCTTCACAACAACCTTGCAAGGTAAGTGTTGTTTTTAATCCTCATTTTACAGTCAGGAAAATTGAGGCAGACAGACATTAAGTGACTTACTCAGAAATTCAAAGCTCATAAATATCTGAGGCTGGATTTGAACCCAGATCTTCCTGATTCCAGATCCAGGGCTCTAACCACTGTACCATCTAGCTACCTGTAAAATATTTTGGGAAGGTGAACTCTCTATGAATTTTATATGCTAGTGTTTTAAAATAAAATAGCAATTCACTCAATTTGATTTAAAATATTTGAAGGAAAAAATGGAATGATAAGAGGCAGCATGGTATGGTAAGTAGAACTTGGAGATAGGAAGACATAAGTACATATCCTGCTTCTGACACTTACTAGCTGTGTGACTCTGAGCAAGCCACTTAAATGCCCCAAGATAACTCTCTTACACTAAGTTATAGATGGGACACAATCTGTATTGATGCTAGAGGTAAAATAATAGCCTTGTGGTATGTTTGGTGTATTAATTTGTTCATCAGTTACATGTTATAGTGATGGCAGGGTGAGGAGAACAAGTCAATACATACTCTAAATAGCCTCGTGGGTATGCATTTTTTTCATAATAGTACAATACCTTTCACATACTGGGTGCTTAATGTTTATTAAATTGAATTGAATTCTCAAAACCTAGCATTAAGAAAATGCAAAAGAATTCAGATGCTATTCTGCTTTTTAGAGAGCCCTAGGAATTTAGATTGCATAATCCTATCTTTCCATGTGGGAGGAAATTATTAATCACCAAGTGTTTATCTTTCAGTTGAGAACCCTAATCACTGGGATAAGATGAAAGACCAGAACTTCTTTTGGTAGATTTACCTCCAGGCCATCAGGAACACAAGCAAGTAAAAGACAAGTTTTGTCAGACCTATGCTAACTTCACAATAGAGAAGGTAAATCTACTTTTTATCCTTGCCATTACCTCTAATCTTTCATTTCTCAGTACTATATCCAGCTCTCACCCCTGTTCTTCTCTCTTACTTATTTATCTAGTCCAAGATTGTCTCCTGTATTCTAACTAGCCTCTGCACTGCCTACTGGATGTTCCCAGCTGGATGTCCCATAGGCTTCTCAAATTCAGTGTGTCCAAAACATGCCAAAATCCTCCCTTGCTCCCAACATTCCTATAATTGTTGATGGTACTACCATCCACCTACTTTTACAGGTTCACGGTTCACTATCATGGCCCCCTCTTTGACCCCTAGCTGAATCATAGTGAAGTTATCATACCCTTGGTCTTTCCATCACCTAGAAGTGTTTCACTTCCATGCTCATGAACTCTGAAATACCTTGATCTGGTCATAATCTTCTATCAATCTTTTATTCCTGTGTCTAATTAGCCTCAAGCCAATTCTTCATCTTCATCAGTTCTATTAGCTTAAGAAAAATATTATAAATATTTTTATGGAATAGATATTAGTATTATTCCATGTTGATTCTATGAATCTGCTAATAGTAACAATCAGACTTGAGAAAAGGTTAAGTTGGATACTGAAACCTAAATGCAAATTGACTTCTTTTCCTAACTCAAAGTTTACTGAATCTTTTTAGAGTGTACAGAGTCATTTCTTTTTATCAGTTTCCAAGGAAAAAAGAAAAGACAATGTGTCCCAAACTGTGAAGATTTTGGGGTGGGGGAAGGAAGAGTGGGATAAGAGGACAATTGAGGCAACCTGGATCTGGAGCTAGGTATTATGGAGAGGCAAAAAAAAAAAAAATCAACGGGGTTACTGTTGGTTTCTCTTTGTTTCCATTGGTCTAATGCCTGTGGAGCCGGTATCAGTCATCTCCAACTAAATCACCTCCCCACTCTTAAGAGCCTAAGTTTCTTCATCTGTAAGTTTAAAGGATTGGACTAGATGATTTCCGATACCCCTTCTAACACTCTGTGACTCAGCAATGAAAAACAATAGCCACTGTTCAATGTTTTCTAACTCAGAATAGACAAAAACAAAAAAAACCCAACCTAATTATGATTTGCTTTGGACATTTTTTCCCGTTTATCTCCTCTGCTCCTTCCATTTTCTGGTTTTTTTGGACCTTCTTGCATCTGTGGAACAGGCTAAGGGTAGAGTTGGGATTAGGAAAAGAGGCAAAAGAAATTTCCAAAGGCCAAGTCATTGAAATAGCCTACCTTGTAAATGCGAAAGAATGGGGGGTGGAGTCAAGATGGCAGAGTGAAAGCAGTGATTTCCTTGAGCTTTCCTCCAAACCCTTTCAAATACTCATAAAAAAAATGTCTCTAAACAAATTTTGAAGCAGCAGAACCCACAAAAAGACAGAGTGAAACAAATTTCCAGCCCAAGACAACCTGGATGATTGATCAGAAAGGTGTATCACGCCAGGCTGGGAGCGCAGCATGGGCGCGCAGGCCGCAGCAAACCTGGAGCAGGCCTCAGAGGACTGAATCACGGGCAGCTGTGGAGGTTTCCAGACTCCTCAATCCATGAATGCCAAAGACAGCTTAGAAGGTCAGTGGGAAAAGTCTGTTTCTGTCAGTGCTAAGAGAGGAAGGCGGGGTCTCACCTTCATTCCCCAAGAGCACGGTCTTGGGAGGGGGCAGCTGCTTCCCAAGCTTCCAGCCCACAGACTGAGGGGGAATCCAGTGGCTGATCAGAGAGGGATTGCAGGGATCTCTTTGCCAGTGCTGAGGCAGGAATCTCTTGCTTTGCCCCTGTTTGGATCTGGGTCACAGTTCTGGGCGGTGCTGGGGTGAGGAGGAATGCTGGCATGGTGGAGCTTGTAGTGGCTGTAGAGAGACAACCCTCCTCACAGTTACAGACAGAAAGGAGTACTTGTGGTCACAGGCCAGGAAAGGTGTAAACACCTCACCCCTTATCATACCACCTTGGAAGAGCTGAAAATTTACAGGTCCCTACAAGTATCTCTGAAAACAGCTGTACAAACCCCTGAAGCTTGGGACAGTACATTCTCCACATTAGAAGCAGACTTCTTACCTTAACAAAGAGTTTAAAACTCAAGTAATTGGCTGGGATCATGAGCAAGCAGCCCAAAAAGAGTCAGACTATATTATCTTACTTTGGTGAAAAAGAAGATAAATGAGAAAGAACGTTAGAAAGACTGCTAAATCTTGAAAATTATTTTCAAGCTTGTGTGTCTATGATATTTAAGACTCCATACAGTGTTGTAGCCCATTTACAAATAGACATCTGCCCTCCCCAATGCCTTGAAAATAAAAAAGAGACAATGGTAAACATAAAAATACTCAACTTTTGTTAGAAATTGGGATTTACCTTTTTTACTTTAAAAAGCAAGCAAATTTCCTTTTAAAATTTTAGTGGAGTGTTGAATAATAATAGAGCTGAGGGGAAATATAATTAAAACATTAAAAAATATAATTAAAACATTAAAATTAAAATTTGCACCACCCAGTGAAGTACTCTTTGTCAAAACATGCTTATTATGTCTTATTTTCTATTTATCAAAGAAAAATGGAACCTTATTTTTCTTCCAGCTCACCTAGTTCACGCTACAGCAAATTCTGCTTATTATCAGACTCAGAATGGTGACCCCTTGATTATTTTTTAACTCAGAGGGGAAAAAAAACCATAGTAAGATATTAGAACTGGTGGCTATGATGGGTGAGCCATTATCACAAACCCTAGCTCTTTTGAGATCTATTAACAAACTTAAGATCAATGAGTCATGATCATGGACCTAGATCAAACTGTGTTTTAAAATGGCATTTGCAGTGGAAATACATTTTACATGATTTCACATGTATAATCTATACGAAATTGCTTGCCATCTTGGGGAGGAGAGTGGGAAGAGAGGATATAGGGAGGGAGGACAATTTGGAACTCAAAAAATTTATAAAAAATGAATGTTGAAAATTGTCTTTACATGTAATTGGAAAAAATAAAATACCATTCATATTAAAAATAAAATTAAAAGGCTTTTGCAGATTAGGACAGTGTGCAATATTTGTCCTTGAGCTTTTTGAGCACAGTGATTATATGTCAGTGTGTGTGTGTGTGTCTGTGTGTGTGTTTTAAGGGGCCTGAGGGGAAAGATATAACTTTTCCCAAACTTTAGCAAATAGCAGCTATTAGAAATGAGCTAAAAACCTATTTAACAACTTTCATATTTGACAATTTGTGTAGTAGACAAACCCTCTTAGTATATTGAAAATTACAACAAGAGAAGCTATAGTATAATGGATGGATAGCTTGCTTTGCAGTTGAGAAGTCTTTGTTTCAAGCTGAGCCTCTCACACCTATTGACTGTATAACACCAGGCAAGTCACTTAACCTTTCAGGGCTCCAAGCAACTCCCTATAGCTTTGTGTTTCCAAGCAGGTGCCTATCCATGTTGGTTAGGATCCTCACCAGGAGTGCCCTATACTAAAGGTATCAGATGTGCAATTCAAAACAAAACCAAATTTCCAGAAAGTGACCAAATGAGGAAATATTTCTTTTCAAATTATAATCTTACAAAACTCTAGGTTTGGAAAGTTGTCTGGATACAAGCATATACCTGGAAAACAAAATAGATAGCACTGAACTTGATGTTTATTATTTTATGTTCAAAGGAAAACTACCCTACACAAACTCTAAAATGGCTTCCTGTGGATTGCTGATTTTTAAATTCACTTCCGCAAGTATTCCATGCCTAAAACCATGCTCATTTCCAAAGAGATTTTCCTTTTGTGATTTGTAGAGTCAGGGGATACAGAACGGAAGCCTTTGGAATTTGAATGAGACAAAGATAACATTAATGGATGGCCAGAACAAACACACAAATAATACAAGAAGTTTCTTCCGTGGGACAGGTATTGACTCAGTGTCCCATGTCAATAGCCAAGGCTTTAATCACAGTTATGCTGGGGAAAATGGTGAGTAAAGCAACTTGTACCTTGTTTGCTTCAAAAAGTACAAAGGTGAGGTGTGGCTTTCACATTACACCATCAGCACCTGAACAATTTAAAAAGTGTCACCATGGAATCTGCTTTCTTTCTCAATCAATCAGCATTTATTAAGCGCATACTATGTGCCAGGCAGTGAGCTAAGCACAAGGGATACAAATACACACAGAAAAGAAATAGTCCCTGCCCTCAAGGAGCTTCCAATCTAATGGGAAATAATATAAAAAAGAAGCTGAAAAGGGCATGGGGGATGGTGGAAAAGTAAGAGAATACCCAACATGGTGTAGCTTGGTGAGAAATGAGAAGTTATCAGAGCTGAGCTTCCTCCTTAAGTAGAAATTCAGAGTTCATTACACACACACACACACACACACACACACACACACACCCCTTCAATGTAAGAAGCAGAGGGGAGTAATGACGTGGAGTACCAAGGCTGATGAGATCCTAAAGGAGGATGAGGTTATCCTAATAATGAACTTCCTGGGGCATTGGGATGATTGTAGTATCTCCATCCATTGAGTTATTCCATCACATCACAAATCTAGGATAGGCACTATAGGTGAAAAAGAAGGAGTTTAGTCCAGAAATGAACAGGATTCCATCACACAGCACTTTCAGCTTTCCTGAGGAAGTGTTCATGTGTGTACACACACATACCATCTTTTTTTTCTATCAAGAGCCTTTTCTTAATGATACATGGCTATGAATAATGGAACAGAATAATCAGCAAACAATCAAAATTATGAGTGACTCAATAAGCAGTGGGTGAAACACATAGTGGGTATAAAGAGGGACACATTATGCATATAAAGAGGATGTGTCATGTGGTAATCAATGCTATCAAACTCAAATAGAAATGGATCTCTGCAGCCACATTTTGACTTAGAAAACCACAAATTAACTATCAAAGGTATAATTTCCCCATTGTACTTTAATTTGATTCTGGCTGCCCTCAGGAATATTGCTCACCACTTACTCCAGGGGCTGCAAGATTCATACCTCTGACTTACACTCAAATGTGTGGTAAAAGATATCATCCTGGAACTTTATGACCAGGAAATGAGGTGGGGCAGCATGTAGGGAAAGTAGGAAACAAAACCAATGGATATCCAAGATACTGCATTGGTACCACAGAGAGTAGGAAAGACCTATAAAAAGCCCTCCACCTGTTGGATAGATCCTTTTTGTAAAGGATTTATGAGAGGATGTGAACAAGAATTGAAAAAAATGAGGTCTGAATGGGTTGTGATCTGCATCATAGAGAGGAGTGATCAAAGACTTAGAGATTTAGAGCTAGAAAGAACCTTCAAGTGGATCCAAACCCCTCATTTTACATATGAGAAAAATGGAGTACAGAGAAGGTTAGTAGCTTTCTGAGAACCATAGCTGGCAAATTTCTAAGTCAGGATTTGAACCAAGGTCTTTCAGACTCTACAGCCTCTGCTCTTATCCACTATACCATCCCACATCTCCAAAATATCATCAACCCTAGAAAGTATGAATGATTGCCAACTGTAGCCACAATACACAATAAACCAAAGGGGACTTAATTTCAATGGTAGATCAAGGGATTTCTGTTGGGTGTTTTTTCCTTTTGTGACCCCTTCGTATGAATTATCACTTCTCTTTGCAGTAGGTGAATAGCTATTTACAAAGCTGATTTCTAAAAAATGATCAATACATTTTATTTTGTTGTTGATGTAACAGGTACACTGAAACAAGGCTCACATTCACCAATATAGCCCGTTTCTGAATCCTCAACAGAAAGAGAGGCTGTGTCCTTTCGTTCTGACAGTAGGATACTGCCCCACATATCCAATCTGTTGCCAAGGCATGTTTCTATCTTCACAACATCTCTTAAATATGTCCCCTTCTCTTCACTCACACAGCCAACTCCCTGGTACAGGTCTTCATCATGTCACTCCTGCATAGTTGCAGCAGCCTTCTCATCTCCCTGCCTCAAGTCTCTCCCCACTTCATCCATCTCCCACTCAGCCATCAAAGTGATTTTCATAAAACTCAGGGCCAAGAATGTCACCCCTGTCTCTACTCGATGAACATCAGTGACTCCCTGTTATCTCCAGAATCAAATATGAAATGCTTTGTTTGCATTTAAAGCCTTTTTCCCTATCTTTCCAGTCTGCTCATAGTTTACTTGCTGGCTTCCTTGCTGTACTCCATCTGTACTCATGTACACACTGTACTCCATCTCCCAATTCTGGGTCTTTGCATATCCCCCGTGCCTCAAATGCTCTCACTCTTACTTCTGCCAACTGGCTTCTTGGACCTCCTTCAAGGCTCAGCTAAATCCCACATTCTGCAGGAGGTCCTCCTTACTGCTATTGACTCCCTTCTGAGACTACCATCCATTTATTCAATATATATATCTTGTACATTGCTGTTAGCATGCCGTCTTCCCTATTATAATGTAATAAAGATAGGGACCATGTTTCTGCCTGTCTTTCTATTCCTACACTTAGCACAGTGCCTGGCACATAATAAATCCTTGTCGCCTGACAGGCTGGTTGACCATTGTCCTTTGGGGTTGACTAGAGATTTCTTGCCTCTCTATGTTGACTTTACTTACATGGTTGTAGTCATTGTCTATACAAAAGTTTTTGGCTATGCTTTTAGTAAAGTGACTTTTAGACAGGCTATAAAGAGACATTAGCTTGTTGAGGGAAACTGAATTCAACTTAACAAACATTTATTAGACAAGTGTTTGGTCTGGTTGCTGGAACGTTTGGGAAAAATCAAAGAGTCAACAGAGATAGCTTTGTTAAAGGGAATACAAACTGATTTTTTCCCCCTTTGCAGGAAACTGTCTGGTGAGAGTTGTGTTACACAGAAACTTTTCTCTTTATGTGAGACAGGAAATGGTTAAGTGCTAGTCAATCTGCTTCTCTCTATCTGAGTGGAAAAGGCTCCCCCTTTCTTTTTGCCTTGTCTGTCTGTCCACATTCAGAACTTTGCCAGAGTTCAAGGATGTGGACAAAGAGAATTTTTTTAGGCAATTGGGGTTAAGTGACTTGCCCAGGGTCACACAGCTAGTAAGTGTCAAGTGTTTGGTCTGAGGCCAGATTTGAACTCAGGTCCTCTTGACTCTAGGGTGATGCTCTACCCACTGTGCTACCTAGCTGCCCCATAAATAGTAGAAGCTTTTTTTAAAAAAAAGGCAATTGGGGTTAAATGACTTGCCCTGAGTCACACAGCTAGTGAGCGTTATATATCTGAAACTGGATTTGAACTCAGGTCCTCCTGACTCCAGGGTTGGTGCTCTATCCACCATGCTACCTAGCTGTCCAAGAGAGAGAATTTTTACCAATAACTTTTCTGTCCAAGGAAAGTACAGCTACAGACCTTAGAAGCTTCTTTTGCTGGCTGGCTACATTTAAAATCTTATAGGCTATCAGGATTACACACAGACACTCACTCACACCATGCAGAGACACAAGCAGAACAGATTAACATTAACAAACAGTGTTACAGATAGTGATGGGGACAGTCCAAAAGCTCAGAGAGGCTTGTCAGAAATCCCCTGTACAAATCAGACAATTTTTCTTGGTCCTCTAGATCATGTTGGGGCCAGGCACAAGGCTTTCCTTTTTAAGACCTTATAGACCCAGCTTTTTCCAATTCTGTAACCAGAAGAGAAGGAGGATCTGGCAGGCATGGGCATGGAGAATGAGAGTCTCTTCACTAAACCAGAAGAGAAATCCTGGGGTGTATCCTGGGAATTTGCCCACTTCTTTGCCTGTCAGCCTCAGAAAATCCCCAAAAGCACCTGCAGTCACTCGATTCTCTAGCATCCTAGAGAACGAGAGAATTGGGCATACACTTCCAGATAGGGCATCCTCTATGCAGTGGAAAGTGCATCTGGCTTCGAGACAGCCTAAAATCATCTGACCTGATTGGAGCCTGAGAATGTCAGGCTCCTCCAAGCCTTCCAAGGTGCTTGGAGGGTGACACCAACTGTAAAGCAAGAAAGAGACAGAGAAAGAGAAGGCTCACATACCTTCTGGTCTTGTCTGGAGGAGGGCTTGAGAGTCAAGCAGGTCCCCATATGAAACCACCAATGTGACATGGTTTAGGGGTATTGGGAACTTCAAAATGTCAGGGTACAAAGTAGCATCACCTGGAATGAATTCATGTACTCAAACCCTCTTCCAGTCAAGTGGCAAAGTTTATTGTAACACTAATAAAGTGGGGGAAGTTATTACAGAAGTTGCCTTTTTGACTCTTCCTACACTTGACTCACTTCCACTCACTCTCCAATCCAGTTATACTGGCCTATTTGCCATTCCTTGCACACTGCATTTCATTTCTGAAACTTTGCACTGATTGTCTCTTCCACCTGGGAGGTTTCCCTCCTTAGAAAAGCTTCTGCTTTTCTCTCCTCTGTGTTTTGGTTGCCAGGTCCAAAAACTTAATCTTTCTAGGTTCCTCCAAAAGAAATCAATCTCTGTAGTGATCAACAAAATTGATTCAAGTTAAAAAGAACTGAGCAGAGACTCATTTACAAATCAGAAAGCTAATTTATAATTTTTTGGGGGGTGTATGCATTAGAAAATGAATGACAAGCTAGAGGGGGAGGTTTTGGGGTTTATTTGTTTGTTTTTTAGTCTAAATTAGTAGTGTCAAACTCCAACGGAAATTGGGGCCACTAAACTGCAGGCCACATATTGATTTAGAAAGCCACATATTAAACTTATCTATGTTTTGTGTACTTTATTTATTTACTTAATTTTGTTATATATTTCATAATTGCATTTTAATCTGGTACTGGGCACTTAATAATTTTGTGGGCATCCCTTATTAGATACCTCTGCTCAAGAGCACAAAACAGGAGCAGAGCCAGAATAAATCCTCAGTTAGTTCTGAGAGAGAGGGAGAGTTAGGAAAGAAAGAAAGACAGAAAGATAGACAAAGAGACAGAGAAACAGAAACTACTGACTCAGGGCATTTTCACTCTGTGTTCCCCACACCTGGATTTCTCTACCTTCTCATCTCTGCCTACCAACTTCTCTGGCTTCCTCCAAGTCCCTGCTAAAATCTCACCTTTCTTGGGAAGTCTTTATTGATTCCTCATAATTCTAGTGCTTTATCTCTGCTGATTATCTCCACTTTATCCATTTTAACATTTTCGCTTGTTTGCACATAGTTATTTTCGTGTTGTTGCCCCATTAGACTTTGAACTCTTTGAGAATAGAAACTATCCTTTGTCTTTCTTTGTACCCCCAGAGGCTTAGCACAGTATGTGGTACACATAGTAGGAGCTTGATAAATGTTTATTGTCTAAATGATAGAGAGGTAGAGAGGGAAAGGTGAGAGAGAAGGGGAGAGAGAGAGAGAAAGAGAGAGAGAGAGAGAGAGAGAGAGAGAGAGAGAGAGAGAGAGAGAGAGAGAGAGAGAGAGAGAGAGAGAGAGAGAACATTAAAAGAAATAAAGCAAAGCTGAATTTAGCTTCAGATTTTTTGAGGCAACAAAGAGGCAAGCTGTATCCCTTTCCATTTATAGCAAGGTTAGTGTTGAAGTCTACTGTTCAGTTTCATTCTTAATTTTAGCAACAATGTTATTTTTTTCTTTCCTTGCATCCTCTAAATGCAGATTAGTTATTTTGTCAAAAGGCTTAAAAATACTGTTGTCATTATACTGCCACATGGTGGTTCTACTGAGCTTCTCAGCATTAGACTCCTCATCTATACATAAATGCATTCTCTTGATCATGCCTTCAGTTGCCTGGGAAGCCTTGAACAGATTTCAAGTAGTTCCTGTGATGTTGATTTGAGACCCTTCATGTTTCATATAAGTGGTAATAGTTAGCCTCTTTTTTTTTTCTGGCTCATTCAGTTCTTTGTATTGTCTTTCACCAAAGTTTTGGATGGATTTATCAGAGAAAGTACAACTTTTGGGTTTCTTTCAAATCAAATCTTGTATCCAAGAGATAGTACTTCAACATTCTCTTTGCCTTCACCACACATCTGGAAAGATGCTGATTTTTAATTTTTTTTCTAAAATCAATCTTGCTTTTGGGGAAACTGGCTTGTAAGACCAAAAATGCTTTAAAAATAAATGATAATACTATGAGAAATTACTGTAGGTCTCAACTGAAAACTTTAGGTTTCTTTAGGTCTTTACTCCCATGCAATGCATGTCAAGCCAGCTGGACAGAAATTGAACCATGGACATATGTATGCTAATTTTGTTTCTCTTTCTCTCTCTCTCTCTCTCTCTCTCTCTCTCTCTCTCTCTCTCTCTCTCTCTCTCTCTCTCTCTCTCTCTCTCTCTCTCTCTCTCTCTCGGCAGTTGAAGTTAAGTAACTTGCCCAGGGCCTCACAGCTAGTTAGTGTGAAATGTTTGGTCTGAGGTCACTTTTGAACTCAGGTTCTCCTGCCTTCAGGGCCGGTGCTCTAACCACTGCACTACCTAGCTGCCCCCCCATTTGTCTCTTTTTAAAAATATTCTTTAATTAATTTGGGGTTTTACAGTTGGTAGGGAAGATAGGAGACAGAGGGAGCCTTGTGCATGCTTCAAATCATACCATGAATGGTTATTGCCTACTATAGTCTTGCATAGGATTAGCTCAAATTTTGAAGTAAAATTATTATAATATCACCTTCAGGGCCCCTTTCTCATGGAACACAGGCTCTTAAAGGATTCTGACTTGTTTCCATCCTATCCCATGTCCCCTCCTTCTCACTACCAGTTTTTTTACTTGCACTGGATTATGGCTAAAACAGAAGCATTAGGGGCAGCTAGGTGGTAAAGTGGATAGAGCACCAGTCCTGAAGTCAGGAGGATCTGAGTTCAAATCCAGCCTCAGACCAAACACTTGACACTTACTAGCTGTGTGACCCTGGGCAAGTCACTTAACCCCAATTGCCCCACCAAAAACAAACAAACAAACAAACAAACAAACAAACAAACCAGAAGCATTAATACTGTACCTAATGCAGTACATTCTGATTCCATAGTTGGTCCAGTAGCTTCTCAAATGTCTTTGGAAACCTCTAGATAAGAGAATAATAATAGAAATGAACATGAATTAAAGAATCACATAATGTCAGAGCTGGAAAGTACTGCAGAGATCATCCATTACACTGTCTTAATTTTATTTCTTTATTTTTACCTTAATTCTTTTTTCAGCTAGTAAGCACTTATTTTCTCTCCCTTCTACTAGTCCCATCCAAAAGAAAAGAAAAATAAAACACATAACAAGCATGCAAAGTAAAACAAAACAAATTTACACATTGGACATTTCTAAAAATTTATGTCTTATTCTGCATCTTGAGACCTCTCTGTCAATAGGTGGGCATCAAGCTTCATTATCAGTTCTCTGGAATCATGGTTGGTCATAGCTTTGACCAGAATTCTTTAATTGCACATAAAAACAATTTTAACATTTATTTTTTAAAAAAGATTTTGAGTTCTAAATTCCTTTCCTCCCTCTTTCCCCTTCCCTCTCATTGAGAATACAGTTTAAAAAAATAAATAATGGATACTTTGAAAATGAAAAAAAATTTTTTTCTAATATTCATTTTTTATAAAATTTAGAGTTTCAAATTTTCTCCCTACCTCCTTTCCCTCCCCCCTTTCTGAGACAGTAAGCAATTTGATATAGGTTATACAAGGGCAGTCATGTAAAACATATTTCCATAATAGTCATATTGTAAAAGAAGAAACAGTTTGGAAAATAATTATAATTTGCAAAAAGAAAAAACCATGAAAAAGTAAAATGAAAATAGTATGCTTCATTCTGCATACAGTTCTTTCTCTGGATGCAGATAGCATTTTCCATCATGAGTCTTTTGGAATTGTCTTGGATCATTGAATGGCTGAGAAGAGCTAAGTCAATCATAGTTGATCAGCATACAATGTTACTATGTACAGTGTTCTGGTTCTGCTCACTTAACTTTGCATCAGTCTTTCCAGGTTTTTCTGAAATCTACCTGCTCATCATTTCTTATAGCATGATAGTATTCCATTACATTCTTATACCACAACTTGTTCACCCATTCCCCAATTGATGGGCATCCTTTCAATTTCCAGTTCAAAAAATTATTCTTTAGAATATAATAAATATTCAAAATCTTGTTTAAAGGGAAATCGATCATGATCCAGAAAGACAAATGCAGTGAGATTCAAAATAAAAATAGTATGTTAAGGTACAAATTAAAAATGCCACAGTATCTGCTGAAGCATAAGAAATTCTGGCTATATAACCACCCACCTTATATTGCCTAATGGAGTGCTTTGTTGTAAAGGCAAAACCTTGGTTGAATTTTTCTACCTTGACACCTCTCATTTTATAAATAAGTTAATTGTTTTCTTTATTTTGTATTTCCCTAAGCCCATACAGATAGTCAATAACAGAGGTGCAATTTGAAACCAGATACTCTAGCTCTGAATGTAGTATTCTTTCTCCCACCCATGATGCCTTCCTCACCTGAACCTGTTAGCCTTTTCCAAACATACATACAGAGTAACTTACATTTTGTTACTGTACCCTTAGACATAAGAGATAATAGTACTTAAAGGCTGGAGTGGCCCATTCACCAAACATTTATTAAGTGTAAGAAGTAAGACTGCAAACACACTTTAATAAGGCACAGAGGATGTAGGGAGAACAGGTACAGAAAGTAGAGAGATGAACAGTGGAAAGGATATGGAGACAGATGGCATAGGAACAAGGGATGGGACAGTGAAAGAAGGCAAGAAGTGATGGGGAAAGGAATGGGAAGGGGAAAAGGCAGACAGTATCAATTATGTAGCAATGGATTAGAGTTGGGAGTACTAGGCAGCATGGACTCAGATGGAGATGGAAGAGTGTTTGGAGGGGCAGTAGTCTAGGGTCTCATTTTTATGGTGGTTTTGTGGGGGGCGGAGCAAACTAACTTATCAGTGTCACTTTGTGGTTAGTTCATTAATATACCCAGATCATCTCAAAGTTGTCAGCAAGAATTTAAAGCTATCATCCATGTCATCCCAAAGTCATTAGTAACATTTGTTGTTTTGCAGGTTTTATTGGGGATAACTAGAACTTTTCTGAGATCTACATATCATAGAACCAAAAGGCCCTGACAACAAAGCATAGGAGGCTTTAAGTAAGTGTCGGTAAGTGTCTGGGGTGGAATTTTCTCATAAACCTCTCCTGCTCTTTAATTGCCATATTTTGTTTGATAATACCCAGGCTTCTAGGCTCAAAAGCTCAAATGTATCTGTAACCTTTCCCTCCTACATTCAATTAACTGTCAAATCTCTACATGTCCCCTTCTCTCCATTCCACTGACACTATCCTAGTTCAGGTTCTCATTACTCATCTGAATTGGTGAATTATCTGAATTATAGCTTCTTCTGAAATCCATCTTTCTCATCATTGCCAAAAAAGTTCCTAATACAAAAGCTTAATCATGTTAGTCCTCTCCTCGATACCCTTCAGAAATTCTGCTTTGTTTATAGAAAAATACACAGTGGCACTAAAAGAAAAAAAGAGCAGAAAAATAGTTATTTCCCCATTTGCAAAATTAAGATAAAAATGCTAAGGAATTGAAGAGGCAGTGGTGAATAGGGACTGCATTCTAGGCATGTGGACGGTCTGCAAGCATGGGGAAGTGGGTATGGAGTACAGCTGGGAGAAGACAACACAGAAACAGAAATTCTAGGTGGCCACCTGGTCCATCCTCCTTATTTCACAGAAGGTTGAGTTGCAGAGAGTTTAAATCATTTGCCTAATGTCACAGTGGCTGTAAGGGGAAGAGTGGTGAATCTAACCTAGGGCTCCTGACTCCAGTTGGACTTGAGGTTGAAATTTTGGCCCTGCCACTTAATTAAATGGACAAATCACTCCCCTCTACAATACTCTGATTATGCTTTCTGTTTCTCAGGCATGACGTGCCATCTCTCTATTCTGTGACCACTGTGACTTTCTACCGGTTATCACCCATGAATGGAATGTTCTTCCTCTTCAACTTCACCTCCTGGCTCCCTTCTAGACTCAGCTCAGACACCACTTTCTGCAGGAGGCCTTTCCTGCCCCTTCTTCACCCTGCTTTTCCCTTTGTTTTGTCCCCTCTATCTGAGATTACCTCCTATCTTCTCTAAATATATGTTGTAAGAACATAGTTGTTTGCATGTTTTCTCCCCTATAAGAAGTTGAGTTCTGGAGAGCAGGGAGCATGTTTTTGACTTTCTTTGTTTACCTTGAACTTACCACAGTGCCTAGAACAGAGCAAGTACTTAACAAATACTTGATGACTTCCAGACTTTCTCTCTTCTGGGCTCAGTTTCTCTATCTGTAAAATGGGAGAAGTTAGACTAGATGATCTCTGAGAGGTCCTCTTCAGTTGTGACATCTGATAAACTCATTTATCTCTTTATCCACCCTTCACCTAACTTCTGCCTGGATTCTAGCCCCCTCACAATGCTACCCTTCCTCATCTACCTTCCTTATGGTAAAAGAGAAGAAGGATCTCAGAGCATCCCATTTGTGGTGCAAGCACACTCTTGTCCCCTCCTGACCTCGGGGGGCTCTGGAAGTAGCACTGCAACTTATTAAGCAACTTCTTTGGAGCAGGGGTGGGACCCCAGGGACCATCCAACACCAGAGGGAAAGAATCTGATGCCTCCATCCTCCTCTCTAGCCCTGAACCTAATCAACTGGCTTTGAAAACTTTCTCTTTCGTTTTCCCAGAAACTCAAGCTCTCAAGTTTTTGCCCTGTGTTTTGTAAACATCTTCCCTATCAGTCACCAGCAGGAAGCACCTGTTTCCCCTTGTTCAGCAGCCCCAGCTTGGCCTTTCAAACCCTCTTGGTCTCCAACTTACAGGAATTCGACTTTACAGCACTTCTCTCCAGTGCAAAAGGGCAAACTGGAATTGCCCTTGCATAGCAGATGTGGTGTGAGCTGAATTCAGTTTCCTTTTCCCCTAAAGACCTCTCTCTGGCTTTTTAAAAATTGCTTTCTCTTTCCTAACCTAAAAAGCCAACCCATATAACAAGAAATAAAACAAGACATGAGAGGAAAAAAGACAACTCATCTCTTTCTATTTGTCCAGCTTCATTGGCCCTTTTGTTCCTTAAACACAACCCTTCATCTCCTGACTCAGTGCCTTTCCCTGGCTGCTCCCCATGCCTGAAGCACTCTCCATTCCTCTGCCTCTTAGCTTTCCTGATTTCCCTCCAGACTCAGCTCAAATACCACCTTCTGCAGGAGATCTTTTCTGCCTTTCCCACCCCTCCAAGTCAATCACTTGATGAGGTAGTCAAGCGGCAAAACTGGGATTTAAACCTGCTTTTTTATATAAAAAGGGGGTGGTGGTAGCAAGATTTGGGCCCCCCATTACATTTATATTATATGCTCTTTAATTTAGGAATGAAGTTTCATATTCAATTATTTTAACTTATGTAATACTCAGGTATTAGTCAAACTTGAATTGCAATTTTTGTCAGTTCTAGATCTTCTCAGACAAAAATTTTAATTATTATGCAATTCCTCTCTTTTCCTTTCCATCTCAGTGCTCTCTTTCTAATACTCTGGAGTCTGTTAAACCAAGCTTCATATGAAGGTTTTTTGTTTTAGGCAATTGGGGTTAAGTGACTTGCCCAAGGTCACACAGCTAGTAAGTGTCAAATGTTTGGTCTGAGTCTGGATTTGAACTCAGATCCTCCTGACTTCAGGGCTGGTGCTCTATCCACTGTGCCACCTAGCTGCCCCTATAAGGAGGTTTTTTAAGGTAGACTTGTCCAACCTGATGTAGGGTAGAGCACAGCAGACTAAGAATGATAGGGAGCAGAACCTGTATTATTAAAAAGAAAGCTGAGAGGCTGGAGGCCAGAAGGATCCCTGTGACTGGACCTGCATTTCCCTGACCCCTGCTGTGTTAGCAAAAAGCAAACTTCCTTGTGTTAATGTTCAGTGTAAGTACCTTACTTCATTCCAACATCAAACCTGAACTAAGGGAATGCTAGCTTAGCTCTGACTCTTATAATCAGGAAAAAGGGCCCAAAGACTTCAACCCAGTTAAATAAAATAATCATGTGAGTTATATGTAAACACAATTGCAGGACTTAGAATTTCTATGCCTTCTTCCCTTCAAATGTTCAAGAGAGGAACATTTCCTTCCTGCCTAAACATTTGAACCAAGTCACAGGAGCAGGAACCTCTATTTTATACTTCTATCAATCTTTCAAACTTTATGCTTGGGATAGGTCTTTGAAAACATTCCTAAAATCATAGAATCTTAGAATTTTTAGAACTTTCAAAGAACTTTCCAGAGATTGACTCATCCAAATGTCTGATTTTATAGGCAAGAAAACTAAGGCCCAGAAAGGAGAAACGGGGAAAGAAGAGTGACAGGGACAGAGAGATAGAAGCTAGAAGAAAGGGGAATGAGACACTCAAGGACAAGAAGGAGAGGGAAACTAGTAAACTGGAAAGAGTAAGAAGATAGCATTTTAAGAAAAAGTAATCTCGGGGCAGCTAGGTGGCAAAGTGGATAGAGCACTGGCCCTGAAGTCAGGAGGACCTGAGTTCATATCCAGCCTCAAACCAAACACTTGACACTTACTAGCTGTGTGACCCTGGGTAAATCACTTAACCCCAATTGCCAAAAAAGAAAAAATAATCTTTCTCTTCTTTTTCTCTTCTTTCTTTCCTTCTTTCTTTTTCCTCCCTTGTTTATAAGAGTTTTAGATACACAAGCAATTTCTCAGCCTAATGCAGACTGACTAGCGCCCTGTCTTGACTCACAAAAGGGAGGTAGGAAAGTGGGTGGAGATACTAGATGTACAGCCTAGTCCTGAGGTAGAGAAAGTCCAGAGAAGAATGAGGTGTGATTGGCCTGGTGCCCTCCTCAAGTGGAGGTTCTTAAAAGAGTCATCAAATCAGAAGGCAACTCCACCTAGGCAGAGAGTACTTCCAATAAGTGAATTTGAGGACTGGAATGAGCTTCAGAATGAATAGCCTGGGGGCATGGTAGAGGAAGTCCAGAGTGAAATCTGGAGAGGAATGAGTTAGTGATGGCTAAGGCCTTCCTTGATGCTGTTAGAAAACAAGGAACCTCTCAACAACATCACCCTTCCACCCCCAAACCCTTTCCAGAAATGAGCAGCTGAGCCATTTGAGCAGAGAGGAAATCTTAACATGTTTATGCATCTGAATAGTAAAGTTATCTGGAAATACTCCTTCTTTGCCATTAACTTCACCCTTCCAATGTCCTGCTTTTTCAGTCTCCTGACTTATCTAATGGATGACCTTTCTTTCTTTCTTTCTTTCTTTCTTTCTTTCTTTCTTTCTTTCTTTCTTTCTTTCTTTCTTTCTTTCTCTTTCTGGCTAGGCAATGGGGTTAAGTGACTTGCCCAGGGTCACAAAGCTAGTGAGTGTTATGTGTCTGAGGCCGGATTTGAACTCAGGTCCTCCTGACTCCAAGGCCAGAGCTTTATCCATTGCACCACCTAACTGCTCCCGTGATTTTACTTTCTTTAAAAAAAAACCATCATCCACACTTTTGTAGGCCAATAATGTTCTACAACATTTCTTAGTTTTGTATTTGCCTTCATTGTCTGCTTTGGCTTCTTCTGCACTCTGACACAGAATCTTAATGTAGAAGTAATTAAAGGTTTATCTGTTTTCCTCTTTTCTACCTCATTATTATTCAAATCTGGAGTTTCACTGAACCTGAACCCCAGATAATGGCCTATATGGGAGATAAGGGGAGGTAAATCATTCCTGAGAAAACTCAAGGTCCAGCCCATTCAGTCACGGTTTGGAGAATACAGTGGATAGTGAGAACGCAGATGATTCAGACATATAATCTTGGTCCCTCTTTCCCTGCCTCACCCCAGGAGAAACAGCTCACGTCTCCCTTAATTGGCAGTTTTCTTTTCCACTGGGGTGATTCAAGCCACCTTCTTGCTAGAAAGATTTATGGGATAAAGGATGGTATTGTTGGGAGATTCCTGGTTTTCTAATAATATGGAGGAGGTGAAACCACACAACTGTGATGAATGTATATTGACATGGTACAAAGAGGATGGATCCTTTATTTTCCTTGGTAAACCTGAGTTCCTGAATGAAGATGAGAGCAAGTCTCTAAAGGAACAGAAATTTATTCCACCAATAGGGGCCAGTTGGTGGTGATGGGGTCAGAGTCTGGAAGAACTGGGTTTCAATGTGGCCTCAGACATTTACTAGTTATGTGACCACGAGCAAGACACTTAGCCTCTACCTCAGTTTCCCCAACTGTGAAATGGGGATAATAAATAGTATCTACCTCCCAGAGTTATTTCGAGGATTAAATGAGATAATATTTGTAAAGAGCTTAGCGCAGTGCCTGGCACATAGCAGGTTTTATATAAATGCAAGCTATTATTCTTATTAACCCAAGCCCTGTTTCCCAGTACCCCTTCCCCTGGCTCAGGTTGGGTTCCTCCACTTTGGTGCCCTTTCCCAGTTCACCCCGTCTCCCAGCGCAGATTTTCCTCCTACGCTGGTCTCTGTTCAGCGGCTCCCCCAGGCCCTTTCTGCTCACTTTCTCTTTACAAAAACTCTGCCCAGAAAGTTCCTTCGGTGGGGCCGGCTTTGACCGTGCACTCGCCTCCTCCGGACTTCTTCGGCTCTGGAGGGGATAACTGGAGAGCAGAGAGGGCAGAAGCAAGGGTTAAACAAGCACTCCCTCCTTGCTCCTTAGCTCAATTTCTCTCTCCTTACCCCCGCGCCCCTTGACCCGCCCCTGATGGCTTGCAAACTTTCAGTTTCGTTTCCCCAAAGCTCCTTTCTTATCCTTCACCTTCACAATCCATTTCTCTGGTTGTTGCGGACAAAGCTTATTCAGGTAAGCAAAGGCTGGGTTGGGTCCTCTAGCGGGAGGGAAGAAAGACATCCTGGACCTCACAAGAAGCACCTTCTCCAGCCTCCCCGCCCCGCTCCGGCCCCCTCCCTAATCAACAGAGCTCTAGAACCAGGACGCCTGCTCACTTCCTTTAGGCTGATGAGAGAGCGCTTGGAAAATGGGGTCAGTTTTACTTTCAGGGTCTTGTTTGAGGGAAGGGGATTCACATATCAAGCTGTCAAAATTCCAGAAAATTTGAAGCCATGAAAAGCACACTTGTGTCTCCTCTGTTTTTTAAAAGAGCATGTATCCATTGGTAGACTGTGGTTCAGAATTCAGACAGAGCTTTACAAGGCAAGCCAGGAGCACCTTTCAGCCCAGAAGTTTTAGCTTCATAGGATCATAGATTTGGACTTAGAAGGGACCTTAGAGATTAGCTAGTTCAGGGTCCTAATATTAAGAAGGAGAGAAATGAGACTCAGAGAAGTTATGACTCACAGAAGGTCTCACTGGGAAGGGAATAAACATTTCTATAGCGCTTACCGTGTGCCAGGCACTGTGCTAAGTGCTTAACAAATATCTCATTGGAGGTAGGTGCTGTTATCCCATTTTGCAATTTAGGAAACTGAAGGAAACAGAGGTTAAGTGTCACACAGGTAGTGTCTGAAGTTGGACGGGAATTCAGGTCTTCCTGACACCAGAGCCAGTACTCTCTCCACTTGTACCACCTAGCTGCCTCTGGGACCAGGGAGCTGAGCCGGGATTTTCAAAGGTAAGTGACCGGATTTCAGAATCAGCACTGTCCCCTCTTCTCCACTTATCTTTGCCTTTGAGCAAGGTTTGTAGGTTTAATAGCTATAAGGTCTAGGAACGTATGAGCGTCTACTTCTGATACTGTTTACTCCTGTTCCTTGGAGATCTGTTCGAGGAGAATATATCCATGGAGTCTCAGTTTAAGAAAAAAAATTGCAAAAAGAAGCTCAGAGCAAATTCTTTCTTTTCTTGCGAAAATGTCAGTTCCTCCAGGAGATCGAACTATGTCTTTCTTTTAAGGGACAGCTAGATGGCGCAATGGATAGAGTGCCAAGCCTGGAGTCTCCTGGAAGACTCCTCTACTTGAGACCAAATCTGGCCACAGACCACTGGCTGTGTGACCCTGGGCAAGTCACTTAAACCTGTTTGCCTCAGTTTCCTCATCTGTAAAATGAGCTGGAGAAGGAAATGTCAAACCACTGCGGTACCTTTGCCCCCCCCAAAAAAAAACAACCATGAGTTGGACAGACTCAACAACAACAAACTTGCTCTCGAATTGAGTCATGTTGTACCACTTGTCTTCTCTATATAGAAATGAACATTGCATACTTTCCTAAAACTCCACCTGTTCTATTGTATAAAAATCTTGGGGAGGGGGTGGGAAGGAATGAGGAGAATAAAAGCCACACACCAGTCAATACATGGTAATAACTTAAACAATGCTTCAAAGGTTTTTATTTTCTTTCCATCTGGTCCTATGATTTCATTAGTGTGGGAAAACTATTCTCCTTACGTAAATAAGTGGATGTAATTTAGATAGGTCCCTGGAGCACCAAAGTTCCTGGCCTTGGCATACACTTACTAAGAAATTGAGGGAAGACTTTAATTCAGGTCTTCTTGACTCCAAGCTGTCCCTTAATCCCCTATACTAGTCTACCTTTCAATATTATGCTTACAAAGTATAATTTTAAAATATATTATTTCATTTGGTACTTAACCTTTCCATTTTGGGGTAGTTATACTTTTTATATTTAGTTATACTTACATTAAGTATTATCATCCTGATTGTATGGATAAGGAAAAAAAAACTAGAAGCAGACCAGTGATGAAGTAATTTGTTCAGATTGACACAATTCTTTTTTAAAAATCATGATTCAGTATTTCTAATGTTTTCCTCAAATTCAGTTGGTGAGAGAGAAGGACATCTTAAATAAAAAAAGGCTTGGGGAAAAGTTTTCTAAAATTTTCCCATTTTAAATTTGAATCTTCACAGTATGTAGTCATATCAAATATATAATATATTGTGATATGAATATTATATAAATATATTTATGTGAGTATAAATAAATGAAATAACTATACCATAATATAGAAACTCCTCACAAACATACATATGCATCTCCTAATAAAAAAGAAAATCAACTGTATATTAACAAGCAGTAGGATACACATGTGCATATCTTTATAAGATGTGTCCTGTTTTATGTGTGTGCAAATATAAATTTATCAAACAGGTGAGTTTTGTTTGGACATATTAAATTTGAGACGCCTTTGGGACATTTAGGCTAAGATGTACATATTAAATTTCAGAAGCCTTTGGGGCATTTAGGCTAAGATGTGCAAAAGGAAGTTGGTGCAATGGAATTGTAGTCCCAGAGAGAGAGAGACTAAGGCTGTATATATAAAATTTGGGAATCATCTGCATATGGATGATAATTGGATCCAAGGGAGCTAAGAATACTACCCAGTGATATAATTTAGAGAAAAAAGTAGAGAATTCAAGATAGAGCTTTGAGGGGCATATATCTACTGGGTGTGACAAGAATGAAGATCCAATCAGGGAGACTAAAGAGGGGTCAGGCAGTTAGGAGAAGAAGTAAGAGATGGCAGTGTGATAAAAATTCCAGAGAGGAGAAAATACCTAGTAGAAAAAAGTGATTAAGGGGCAGCTAGGTGGCTCAGTGGATAGAGTACCAGTCTTGGAGTCAGGAGGACCTGAGCTCAAATCTGACCTCAGATACATAATGCTCACCAGCTGTGTGCCTCTGGGCAAGTCACTTAACCCCAATTGCCTTACCAAAAAAAAAAAGAAAAGAAAAAAGTGATTAATAGTGTCAAATATTGCAGAAGTCAAGAAGGTTAAGAACTTTTAAAATGTCATTAGATATGTTAAGGAAGGGCTCATTGGTAACTTCGGAGAAAGCAGTTTCAGTTAAATGATGAAGCAAGCAGCCATATTTTCATTACAAGAGAGTAGAAGGGAAATCTTTCTAGCATCTACAGTCTTCTCAAGGAATTGAGCAGGGAAGGGAAGGAGAGACAGCTACTGGGATGGTATAACCTAATGAGGGCTTTTGAACATGAATATGAACATGTTTGTAGGCAGCAGGGAAAGAATTAATAGATGAGGGAAATGGATGATTGGAGAAAGTAGAGATCATGGCTGTGTCACCACCTGGAGAAGATGAGGGTGGATGGGTTTAAGGGTGCATGAAGATGGTTTGGCCTTGACCAAGAGAAGGGCTATCTCATCAGAGAGTGAAGTGAAAGAGAAAGTAGTAAGGAAGAATAATGTCAGAGGGGTGTCAGATGCGAGAAAAGGAAGAAGTCTTCAGCTGAGAGAATAGGAGGGGGTATTGTGGGAAGTTTGAGGGAAACAAGGAAGGTTTGGAACATCATAGTTCTTCCTCCCTCCAACTGCTGCCGTCTGAGAGGTTGAAACCCCTCAAAGACTGGAGTACATTACAAGAATTGTGTCAACCTGAACAAATTATTTCATCACTGGTCTGCTCCTAGTTTGTTTGTTTTTTTTTCCTTATCCATACAATCAGGGTGATAACACTTAGTGTTGTCTGGAATGAATCCACAGACTCAAGCATTTTTAAGTCAAGTTGGCAAAGATTTATTGTTACATTACATAGTGGGCAAGGATTCTTAAGCAATCTGTGACCTTAGAGGAGTACAGTAAAAGTTTATATAGCATAACCACCTACTCCTTTTATAGACAATTTTTCATAATAAGAGCAAGATATTCCTGATAAGTATATGTTTCCAAATGGGGGTGGGCCATTGCATTTCAACTCCTCCCTCATTGCTGCCTCTTAGGGAAAGGAGATGAGACAAGGGAATAGGACGGTTGTGGTCTGAGAGGTTGAGACTCCTCAAAGACCAGAGTACAAGACAGGGTCATCTGGAATGAATTCACAGACTCAAGCAATCTTTAAGTCAAGTTGGCAAAAGTTTATTGTTAAACTTTTCAGTGGGCAAGGTTCTTAATGTTAGAAATAGAGCCCCTTGTACCCCCCTCAGGAGGGCTGGGAAGTTAGTCTGGGCAAGCTGCTGCAGCCCATTGCTACCTGTGTGACCCTGGGCAAGTCACTTAACCCTATCTGCCTTAGATTCCTAATCTGTAAAATGAGCTGGAGAAGGAAATGGCAAACCACTCTAGTATCTTCCAAGAAAGCACCAAATGGAGTCATGAAGAGATGGACATGACTGAAAAATGACTGAACAACTGATGTTTCTAAAATCAGAGATCTAGAGCTGGAAGGGACACAAAGACCATCTAGTCAAAGCCTCTACTTTACAAATGAAGTTGGAGGAAGGTTACACAGTGTGATGGTGGCAAAGCCAGGATTTGAAGTCAGCTGCTCTGACCCCAAATCTAGTCTGCTTTTCACTGTGTGCCATGTGTGACACCTATCACCAAATGTTCTTCAATTTCCTCTTCTCTTTTCTCCCCATTTTTTAGGCATAATAAATTTTATATATTTTATATCTATTTATGTAGCTTCTCTGCCCCTTCTCCCAGACTATTTGTGTGTTTTTTAGTTGTTAATCAGAAGAAATCCCAAATTAGAATGAATGTATTTGAAAATCCAGCCAAACCTAATTTTGCAATGCAGGCTTCATCACGTCAATGGTTCATTGTCTCTTTGTCCTCTTCTCCTTCAGCCCCTGGTGGTTATCTTTATAAAGTTAACGATCAAAACAACCTTGTTAATGTTGTTTTCTTTTTAAATCCTAGTATTGAATCCATTTGGAGTCTGTACTTACTTGTTCAATATTTCAAAAATAATTCTATTGATTCCTTGTTGCTTTTTTTTTAAATTAAGACAACAATATAGACAACTCCCTTAGGAAATCTGAGATCTGCCAAAGTTGAGAGAATGTCTGCTGCTTCTTCCTCCAGTGACACTGCTGCTGTAAGGACATCTGCTGTGAGTGAAGGTTAGTGACAACCATTACCAAGGTACTATCAGTAAAATCACACCTAGAAGAAATAGCATAGCTGATCTCTAGAGATCTCTGATCTTGTTATAAAATGCCTACAGGTACGCTTCTGTTAAAGGCATTCCCTATAATTACTTTTAATTGAATTTAATTGACTTCTGCCATTTTAATCTCTCAATCATTTTTCATTATATTCTCTCCCCACAGGAACTTGTGACATACTCACATCTTTCTCTAGATGGGTGAATCCCAAATCTACCTCATTAATCCTGACCTCCCATGTAAGGTCCTGTCACACTTCCAGTTGGATTGAACATTTTCATGGAATGTCTTACTGTTATCCCAAACTCAGCATGTCCATATTAATCAACTTGGACTTTTGTGGTAGATCCCTATCCAGGCCATTTTAAACACTTAGTAAATTCTTGTTGATTTTTGACCTGATGCTGTTACCTCCTTATCAGGTGGTCAGCTCTGAGCATTTTGTGTACACACCTACCCATGGTCTTTGATCATTTACCCTCTAATCCCCCTCAGGAAATCTGCCTTTTGACCAGGGCCTGATCAAAGATTTTTAGGTATAAAGGGCAGTAGAGATCAGT